TAAGAAAAATTTTTTTTGAAAGAAAGATGGCTAATCGATCTTCATCGTCATTACGAAGTCGTAATGCTTCTTCATCGACTAATACAGGTGGATTGAATCTTTCTCGTGCACAAGAAAAGGAACAATTGGAAACCCTTAATAATCGTTTGGCTGTTTATATTGATACTGTACGTCGTTTAGAACAAGATAATAAAGAATTAAAGGTAAAGTTTATTTCTTTTTGTAAAAACAAAAAAAAATTTAATCATAAGTTTTTATTTGTTAGAGTATCATTTCATCATATAGCGATACATATGAAGTTGAAACATCTAAAGTTAAACAATTGTATGAGCGTGAACTTGAAGATGCAAAAAAATTAATTGAAGAACTTGCAAGAGAAAAATCACGTTTAGAAATTGATGGTGAAAAATCAAATGCTGAATCACAAGATGCTTTAGCTAAGTATGTTTATTGTGTGCTTGTTGAGTTTTAATTTCATATATATATATGCATTGTTTTAGACTTGTACGAAAAGAACGTGAATTACGTGCTGCTGAAGGTCGTTTGAAACAATATGAAACAGAAATTGGAGATTTAAAAGCACGTAATGATGCACTTGGATACGATGCTAATCGAAAAACCGATGAGAATGTGGTAAGTTTAAATATAACAATGTTCGGTCGATTTTAAAAAGTGAATCAGAATACAAAATCATCTGTGAATACTAACTATCTTATGCATACTTTTATCTAAGAGGATTACTTAGCTAGTAGAAAACTGATTGTCGGATTTGCTAAGAACAGTTGAAAGTTACGAATAATTAACAGAAAAATTCAAGATTAATATAAAATCTGATAGAGTTGCCGTTATTTCTTTTGAATAGAAGGAAACATTTTTGGATTATTACATACATACGTCGATTGTACTATGCAAAATCTATGTAATAGAGTAATATCATATTTTTAATGATACTTTAAGAAAGAGTCTATCAGATACAGTGGCGTACGCAGGGGGGGGGGGGGGGGGAGGGCCCCCCCCCCCCCCCCCCCACCC